GTGCATCTGTATAATGTCGTGAAGCTTATGTTTTCTTTTGATTGTCGTAATTGTCAAGGAACTGCCCTCCACCCTGTGCAGCTGCTACATCTGTTTAGTTTTCTCTTATAGTCACAGGAGTCTCACGCGAACGCCCCACTTCGCACTGGAACCGCGAGAGCCCACTTTCGGAAAGGAATCGCCTTCCATGGGTACAGCTGTTGAACCATTGCGCCCATGGCGGCGAATGTACGCGGCGCCAGGGCGAGAGCCCCATTTTGAAAGTCACCCTCCTGCATGCTGGAAGCTGTTGTGAGAGTGTACGTACTCCGTGTTCGGTGCCAAGGCGAGGGCCCCATTTCGCAAACGACCCCCCTCCGGCCTTGAAGCTGTTGCCAATGGCAAGCCTCAGGACCATAGATGGTGAGGACATTGCAGGCGGAGGGCCCAGCCCGCCCTACCGACACGTCTGGGGGTCGACAGGGAGGAGTTACGTCCAAGGAGTAGTGATGGATGAGGAGGATGAGGACGATGATGGGTAGATCGGCAATGACGGTGATGATGATGTTGATGATGTTGATGACGATGATGATAACGACGACGATGATAATGACGATGATGATGATGATAATGATGATGATGCTGGTGACGACGATGATCTCATCCTCGAGGAGGAGGATGGGGAGATGCAGTATGATGATACGGATGCTCTTGATAATGATGATGATGGTGAATGTGATGGTGATGGTGATGATTCGTACCATGGGTATGATGCTGCTGCTGGCGCTGATGATTGCGATGGTGAGGGTGATGAGTACGATGGCGACGATGACGACAACCTCGACAATGTTGATGAGTATGCTGATGCTGCTGTTGCGGATGATGATTATGATGATGGTGGTGGCGGTGATGATTGACGATGGTGAAGGTGATGCTGCTGATTATGATGATGATGATGAAGACGAGGAGCAGCCACGTGATGAATGAGATAATCATTATGATGAGGCTGATTTCTGATGATTACGATGGTGGTTGTGTTGATGCTGATGATCATCAGGATGATTGCGATGATGATTCTGATGCTGTTGTTATAGATGATGATGATGCTGATGATGATGATGATGATGATGATGATGTGGATGATGATGTGGATGATGATGAAGCTGCTGATGATGCTGATGATGACGATGTCGACGATGATGCTGATGATGCTTCTGATCATGATGTGGTGACGGTGATGATTATGATTATGATGATTCTGATGAGGATGATGGTGATGATGATGACGACGATGCTGTCGATGATGATGACGATGATGACGATGCTACTTTTCATGACGCTGCTGCTGACGATGATGCTGGTGGTGACGATGATGAACATTTGATGATGATGGTGGTGGTGGTGGTGGTGATGATGATGATGATGATGATGATGGTGGTGACGATTATGAAAATATGATGATGATGGTAGTGGTGGTGATGATGATGATGATGATGATGAGCAGATGATGATGCTGGTGATGATGATGATAGTGATGCTGATGCTGCTGATGATGATGGTGATGCTGATGATAACGATGATTGTGCTGCTGCTGCTGATGCTGCTGCTGCTGCTGCTCATGATGATGATGATGATGATGATGATGATGATGATGATGATGATGATGATGATGATGATGATGATGATGATGATGATGATGATGATTATTATTAGTATTATTATTATAATGATTATATTTATTATTATGATGATGATGATGATTATTATTATTATTATTATCATGATGATCATGATGATTATGATTCTGCTGATGATGATCATGATGATGCTCATGATTATGACTATGATGGTGGTGCTTTTGATGGTGATGATGAGGATGAGGAGGAGTTGGAGGAGGAGGAGGAAGAGAAGCAGGAGCAGTGCTATTAGGTGACGGAGGAGGGAGCAGGGAGCAGGATCAGCTGCACGCTTGGAGGCTCCCGGTGGAGCCGCGCCGCAGGCACCGCCGATCATCACCGTGGCTGGCAGGACCGCAGCGAAGCGTCGGCATTGCGTCACGCTTCCCCATGTCGACCCCCCCCCTCCCTCCCTCTCTGCCCTCCCCTCTGCCCCCTGCCCTCTTCTGCCCGTCCCTCTTCCCCCCCCTTCTCTCTCGTCCCCCCCACTCCCCCTCCTCCTTCCCCTCCCCTCCTTCCCATCCAAATTTACACAACATAAGTACTACTCTCCTCTTTCCGCGGATGACGTCCGGAAGATGTCCGCCCCCCCCTCCGCGTACTGTTCTTTACACACAGGATTCCTGGGAGTCGGTTTTTCTCTAGGTTTTTTTGTTCAAAATGTTGCTCTCGCTGAAGCGCCGGCCTCATTGTTGGTCTTTCGCTCGTTCCGAATCGTGCTCCCGCTGCAGCGCTGGCCTCATTTCCGCGCTTCCGCTTGTTCCGAATCGTGCTCCCGCTGCAGCGCTGGCTCCATTTCCGCGCTTATGCTCGTTCCGAATCGTGCTCCCGCTGCAGCGTTGGCA